AAGTAAAGTGAGAATGAACTGAAAGTGCACTATTCGTGTGCAAAAGTGCGTTGCAAATGTTTGCATTCATTGAATGCACTATTCAATGCATGTGAAGGCAGCATTAGTGTAGACACATTCCAGTAGCATATTGATATGTGTATCAGGAGTAGAAAATGATCTGAATGGGAGAACACTTATCACAACCTTACTATAATTGCCTCTGGAGTTTGACCCATAGTTGCTTCTGAACAGCATCTGAACTGCTCCATAAAGTTGAGGGCTATCATCAGCTAGAGTGCTTTAAAGTGCAAGTGTGCCCCCTAATGGCTGTTCTTAGCATGTTTGATCATAATATAAACCTGCAATAATGTCAGTTAGTTTGTTTGACTTCACACTGTTTGTTCCTGTTTAGTTCTATTTCTCTTACCTCACCCCTTTGTTTACTGGCACCCCAATAGGGGCTGGAACCTCTGAATTCTCTCATCATCCATGATGTGTTCCAGTCCCTTAGGCAGAGAATCATACTTGAAAGGATTATGACAAGATTTGCATCAAACTTCTCTCTCCCTCTTCCTCACAGCTTCTGAAGAAGTGAGTTCTGACTCACAAAAGCTGTAGCTGAAATCAGCTAGGGAGGACCCGCAACTGTCTGCCCTGGCCACCCCCCTTCCCCTCTCCCATTTAACTGAAAGCTGAGCTTTTCTCAGAGGGTCCCTTTGGAAAAGGAATCGAGGATTCCTCATTTCTACTTTGACCTCATGGTCATTCCTCCACTATTGAGAGGTCTGTCATGGTTGGATGAAATATAATTGCTGCCACGAATCAGGCTATGACCCCTTTTTTTTTGCAAGGGTTAACATGTATTTAGTCAATGAGGGCTGCACTGGGCAGTGTTGTGGAAGGCATAGTAATCCGTTGTCAGCCAGAGATATTGGGCCCAGGCCACTGTTCCCTCTAAGCTGAGTTAGTGTGAGCTAGCTCACAGATTTTTAGCCTTCAGCTCTCACATTTTTGCCTTCGCTCAGGAAGGATGGCTCCGGAGCAAACTAATTTATGCAGTAGCCAAATTGCTTGCTAACAACTTTAATTGCCAGTAGCTCACAAAGTAGAATTTTTGCTCACAGCACTCCACAGCTTAGAGGGAATATTGGGCCCAGGCTTTTTAAAAATCAAATAGATTTAATTCATTTTTATTGTTTCTAATTGACATTATGGTCCCCTCTGCTTTACCAGGACGTAGTTTTCAGGGGTTATTCTCATGACTGCAGGGACACAGATTCCAAGTTCACGTCTGGGGCCTCATTCTGAGCGTGGCGGTCTTAGGGCTGCCAGCTGGCCCCCACACTTGGCTTCCTTTAAGACCTTTGTGCATGCCTGCTTGTAGTAACTACTAGACATGTAAACTGGAGACGGACAGCAGGCTGTAATCCTGGATTAACAACTCAGTTACAATTTACATTCCCATGGAATAGTTTCTCTCACATGATTCTGACCACCGCACACATCCTCCATGTTGTACGATATTTGGTACTGTGGGGAAAAAACACCATAAAGACTGCTATGCAATGGGACGTCACAAGGTCCCACCTCACGGCATCATGCAGTGAGTTTCAGGCTGAAGATGACGGGGACCAAGGAACCCTTCCTCTCCCCAGTGTATTGTTACATTGGCTTATAATGGATAAGACAAAGTCATACTTATGCAGGTGATGCTCACACACCTGGATCAGCGTGATGGGAGAATCTAGCCTTCATGTACTGATTTGTTTGTGCATCAGAAAAGGAACTTAAATAATATATTTCGCCTCTTAGTGACGGATACCAAGACGGAAGTGATTTCCCAAATGTCTTACTGCCTACTGGGTGCTGGACTGGCTCTTGTACCACTTCTTTCTACAAACTCAAATTCACAAGGGGAGGTTTCCCACCAGTACTTAGCATCTTCATGCCAAAAGGAAATGTTAATATTGTCACAGCTGGTGTCTCAAGTGGGTGGAGGAGGGATCTGGCAACTCAGAGGAAATGTCTTCAGTGAGCTGAGACACAGGAAGGAGATGTGGCTGCAGAACGTATCGAGGAGAGGTTTTTGTCTTGTTTCCCTTCTGTATGCACCACTGTGCTGGTACTGAAGGCTGGTATCATTATAACCGTGCTCACAATAATAATCTGCCTCATCTTGGAGTTGGACGTTGCCGATGGTTAACGTGGCTGTGTTGCCGCTGCTGCTCCCAGAAAATCGGTCCGAAACATGATCAGGTCTTTCTTTATCCTTATATATTAACAGTTGGGGAGCATTGTTAGGTCTTTGGTGGTACCACTGAACATACCACTTGTTCACCAAATCTCCTGAGCAAGTGATTTGAGCAGTTCCTCCAGGAGACACAGAGACTGATGGTGGCTGAGTCAGCACATACTGAGCAAAGTACCCTGGAGAAAAAAAAGAAGAGAAGGTACATCAATATAGAAGAATCACAGCACCGCTGATCTGGAATAATGTATCCAAAAGCCCCTCCAACCCATGCAGTGCAGACCCCCAACTCAAAAGCTGAGTAATGAATAGGATACAATCAATCCTTTTTACACAGTTGGAGAAGGGACTCTAAAATCAGAGAGGAAGCCAAGGTGAAGCTGTGACCCATCATCACCTGAACAGTAGGACAGTGTCAAGAGGAGGCAGAATGGAGACCAGGCCATGGCAGTGGGGTCTGCAGAGGAACCCTCTTCCCCAAGGCAAAGAGAGCATCCAGGTGGCTTTCTCCCATCCTCTTAAGCCAATTGAAGTGGCAGAAGGTGTCCTTTATGCAAATGTACTCTCTTGCGGTTGGCTGATTCCTCTGCCACCATGCACATGAGCAGTTCAGCTATCCTCAAGGACTCTCTTATGTTGATACACAGCAAAAGTCTATAGTTAGATCCCAGGGGGTTGTCTGAAATGACTAGGAAGGAAGGGAATAATATGCTCTATAGAGCTATACCTCTGCTTTGGCTTTATAACAGTGTGGGATAGGAAACCACATGAGACCTACTGGGAAAGGTTATTCTTCATATCATATTAAGATGCCTTTTATATACAAGGGGTATTTGTCATGTTTTCCCCATAAAGGTATCAAGGTGTCATTCTTCACTGCTTCGGAAGAAGAAATGTATTACACTGTATGAAGAAATCACCCAAAGAATCTCTTGAGATACGACTCACCGATACATAAAAGGTTTGCTTCGTGTCGGCTCATCTTCTCTGCAGTGTAGCAGATCATTAGTCATCAGCCACCATTTGAGATCAGCTCTTACATGTATCCAATACAAGCACTGGTACTTCGGAAGTCACAGACTTCTCAGTCTCACTCAGGAGCATAACATAAGAACCTAAGAAGAGCCCTGCTGGATCAGACCAGTGGTCCATGTAGTCCACCGTCCTGTCTCACACAGTTTCCAAACAGTTCCTTTGGAGGGCCAACAACAGGGCATAGAGGCTGAGCCCTTCCCCTGAAGGGAAGGTACCTTTCCCCGTGAAGGTATTGGCTGGATGTTAGTGAGAACATTTTTTATAGTAAGAGTTGTGCAACAGTGGAATCAGCTGCCTAGGGAGGTGGTGAGCTCCCCCTCGCTGGCAGTCTTCAAGCAGCAGCTGGACCAAGACTTGTCAGGAATGCTCTTGGCTGATCCTGCACTGAGCAGCGGGTTGGACCAGATGGCCTGTATGGCCCCTTCCAACTCTGTGATTCTAAGATTCTGTGATTCCCCTCAGGCACAATGGCTAGTAGCCAGGGGTCATTTCGTAGAAAAAGAGCTAGGGGAACTCATTAGCATAATTGAGGGTAGATAGTGCAGAAGGTAGGCAGTTGCTGTTTACGAGAGCAGGAAGTAGGGTCTCTGTCAACCTGCCTCCAAAGTAACTCTTGTCCAGCAGATGGTCAACAGTGGCCCCTGCCACACGGCAGGGGAAAAGCCCTTTAAAGCGCGGCTTTTAAAAGCCGCGCCAACGTTGATCCGGCTCGGCGGGATCCCACGGATCCCCCGGCCGAGCCGCCTTTTCTCCCCGGCGCGATCAAACGCCGGAGAGAAAAGACGGCTCTAACCGGGAGCCGGCCGATCTGCGCATGTCGGAGCATGCGCAGTTCGGCTCCGGCCCGGGGTTGAGCCGGCGCAAGGGAGCGCCGGCGATCAGACGCCCGGGAAGAGGCGCCTCATCCGTTTGAACCACCGAGGTAGGTGGTTCAGTTTGAGGCGGTTCTTCCCGGGTTTGGGCCAGTTTGGAGGCGGAAGCAGAACGCTTCCCAGATGTTGTGGTGTGATCGCGCTGCTTTGATCCGCCTCCAAACTGTCCCGTTCCTGGGCCAAATCGCCTCGTGTGAACGGGGCCTAAGAAAGTCAGTTTGTGATTGTTTGCCTACACAGAGTTACCTCTTTTTTTTTTTTTTGTGGTCTCCCATCCCAGTACTATCCACACCTAGCCCTGCTTAGCTTCTGAGCCCTTAGAAGACCAGGCTACCTAAGCCTGCAGGGAGAGGTAATATATAAAGGATTAGTGATACTCACAAATTTCAATTGGGGAAACTCAAGAAGTGAGCCCCCCTCTATGTGGGTGCATGTGCGAATTCACACATTTTACAAGAACTCCCTTCCAATGTTCCCAAATATGCTCGAAGCATTTTAAAATATTTGAAGAGTGTTTGCAAACATGTGAGCAGTTTCAAACCCACCATGGGGTATTTGCCAAGTAGTAAACCACACAATTGACAAAATCCTTCATTTCCCCAAACTCTACTGAGTATAAAGGTACACCAGAAATATCCCTTCTCTCTATACTAAAGGGAGGATGAATGGGAAGTGGCAGAGGCGGGACATCTCTTTTTGGAAGTAGTAATGAGTGTTCCTGGTATGGAATTAGGGTTTGGGTTGAGACCTGGTGGCCAAGGCTCAAATGGAAACTCTGGATGCAATTTTGCTTGTATGTAGGTCCAAATGGTGAGATGGGCACAATGCTCTTTGAAATTGAAGAAAAACATGACTGTAGCAGCTCCCCCCAAAACGAAATGTGGCTTTGCTGGGTGTACAATTGCTTTTGGTCCCTGTAGATACTGCAGTCCTGACCATTTTACTCCGTGGAGGGAAAGAACTGAAACACGATTCCATACCATTGGTCACAGGTTCAATACCTCTCTGCAGTGTTCAGAAGCTCAAATTGGGAACTACAAGGCAGTTTCACACATACCAAATAATGCACTTTCAGTCCACTTTCAGTGCACTTTGCAACTGGATTTTGCTGTGTGAAATGGCAAAATCCACTTGCAAATGGTCACTGTAGTGGAATGAAACTCGATTATTTAGCATGTGTGAAGGCATAGGACAGGTTTTTGTCATGCTTCCTCATCTGGTTGTACCACTGTGAGAAACACTGCCAGTCCAATATGCACATAATAATCAGCCCCGTCTACTGCCAGGGCCCCCGTTATGGTTAAATAGCAGGTGTTACCTGATGCATCTTTGGATCCAGAGAAACAAGAGGGGACCTCAGAGCCCTGGCCCTTGCTGGAATCTGAAGAATAACATAAGAGGAACAGTGGGGGATGTTGTATCAGAGTATCAATGGATCTTGCTCTATTGGAAAGAAGAGATTTCTTTGCTTTTAAAAACCTTTATTTCTAAGGGCAAAAGCTATACAGGAAACCTACAAATAAACAGAACATCTAAGAGCTACATTTTCTAAGCTTACAGTTCAACCATTGTTACACACTAACACAGAGATAATGGAGAATCTGTCCTTCTTCTCGTCCCCTAGAAAGGAAGTCACCTGGAACAAACAACCAATCACTTATCACAACAGAAGTTACTTTTCCCGGGCTAATCCCCCATTGGTTCTGTGCCAGGTTTCCCTTCCAGGTCAGTCTAAACAATAGCAATACTAGGTAAACAAGTTAACCCTATAATGACTGGATTGTCAGACCTTGTAAACACATACATTTCCAACACCCCTTCTCAAGGTCTAACATGTAAGTCATACATACACATACAAAACATTATTCAATATTCACTTCAACATTTGTACCAATCATATTCAACATTTCACGTAGACGTTCAAACTTCTCTTTGGTCAGTGGCTTAGTCAGAATGTCAGCCACCATTTCTCCTGTACGACAATGTTCAATATCTATCAGCTTCTTCTGGTACAAATCTTTCACTAAATCACACTTAATACCAATTGACCTACTTCTAGCTGGGGTGCTTTCTTCCTTACATATGTCTGTAGACATAATCCTCTTGTCCTTTGACTTTAAAACCTTCAGGTTGTTCCATGTAGATTTCTTCGGATAGTTCTCCATTGAGAAAAGCAGTCTTTACATCAAGATGCTCTACAACCATGTCTCTTGATGCTGCAACACTAAGAAGTGTTCTGAAAGTTGCTTGGTCGGTAACTGGAGCAAAAGTTTCAAAATAGTCAGTCCCATATTCTTGTGAATAGCCTTTGGCCACTAGGCGTGCTTTGTATAGCTCCACAGTTCCATCTTCTTTATGCTTTATTTTGAAAACCCATTTGCATCCAACAGGCTTTCTGCCTTGAGGTAGCTTAGTAAGAGTCCATGCTTCCTTCTCGTAAATGGATAGTATTTCTTGTTCCATTGCTGTAATCCATTTGTCTCTTTCACTCGTAGGTAAGTTGCATACTTCCTTCCAGTTCTTGGGTTCCTTTGCGGATTGCACAGTTTCACAAAATCCATATTTCTTTGGTGGTTGCCCTTTAGTGCTCCTTTCTGACCGTCTCACACTGGTTGTGGGTTCTGCTGCCTCCTCTGGTGTGGTTCCTGCTTCCCTTTCTGTTCTGGTAGTTTCCTCAGAAGGTAAACCTGCCAGTTCCCTGGTGATCATTACAGGTAACCATGCCACCAACTCTTCAGGTGCAGCCCCAGACATCTGTGGATCAGTTGCACTGGAAACACTTGACAAATCACGCTCATCAACAAATACAACATTGCATTCCTTAACTGTGCGATTTTGGGGATTGTATATCCTGTATCCCTTTCCACCGATTGGATACCCTACTACGAATCCAACTTCAGCTCTGGCGTCAAGTTTTCCCCTTTTCTCCTTTGGTATGTGGGCATACCCTTTGGAACCAAAAGCTTTGATGTGCTTTAATCCAGGCTTCTTTTTAAACCAGGCCTCAAAAGGAGTGGTCCCAGTAAGCTTTGAGGGTACTCTATTGTGTAGATACACTGCTGTGTTCACAGCTTCAGCTCGTAGGCTATTTGGTATTCCAGAATGTATAAGCATTGCCCTACACATGTCCTGAATTGTTCTATTCAGCCTCTCAGAAGATCCATTTTGTTGAGGCGAGTGTGGGACAGACACCTTGTGCTCAATCCCTTCAAGTTCCAGAAACACTTTAAATTCAGCATTGCAATATTCTCCACCTCCATCGGTGCATAAGCTTTGAGGTTCTTGGCCAAACTTGTTTTTAATTGTGGCCAGGTAACATTTGAATTTATTCAGTGTCTTATCTTTGCTCTTCATCATATACACAAAAGTATATTTTGTTTTATTCTCAGTAAAAGTCACAAAATATCTGTTTCCGCCACAGGATGGCACTAGTGGGCCAACAAGATCACTGTACACAGTCTCTAGAAACTCCTCATTGTGAGATATGGACTTCCCAGAATACCATGGGGCTATCCCTTTTGCTTTGAGACACGTTTCACATTTCTCCTTTGCCTTATCACAATTCA